GCTAAGAAGTATCAAAGCTGTGGTTGCAATCTGAAGGCACGAGGCTCGGCACTGACACCACATCCTGGAATGTGGCACTGGGATCTGTCACGGCTCGTCACCATCAGATGGGACTGCGGGTTGCCTGTAGCACTACTTGCTATTCCAGAAGGCAGCAGGGCCTTAGAAACATGAGCAATTACATAGTAGCCTGGAGGGTTGAGGGATACGTTCAAATAGGTGGGCATTACTCTTGATATGCCCCCAAACTTTTTAATATTAAATGTGTATTTTTTCCCTAGAAAAATGCAAATCGTCCGTAAGGTTTCTGTGTGAATTGTAAAGGTCTAAGTGCAGGTTTCCATTCATAGTTTAATGGTGTCTGTGTGAAAATCATAAGGGAAAAATGATGCATGTTTTACTTCTGCCCATGGTAGACCTGCTGGGGAATGGAATTTGGAAATCACATCATAAATCTGAAATCGGAATGCTTGGCTGTGGATTTGCTTTCATTTCTTCACTATCAGGGCAAGAGCATCTATTTCAAACCTTCTAAAGGCATTTGTTAGAGATTCTGTATGAAACATATTACCTAGCAGAAATAAAAATCGATAGAGTATAGTTGACTTGGGCCAGAAAAAAACCAACCTTTTCTTTTTCTTTTTTTTTTTTTTGGAGAGGTTTTTGCTATAGGGCGCGTGCGCTCGCCAGACAGACAGAGAGAGACAGAGAGACAGAAAGCGAGAAATCACCCCCCAGGGGGGATAATCACGCCGCAATCCCTTCTCCTCCATTCTCCTCTCGGGATCTTGGGCACACACGCACACGCGCCCGGCGTGAGTTTTAATCCACCGGGTCCAGGACGCGAACCGCGGTCGACCACGTGGGAGTCCAGCGACATAGCCATTACGCTAACTGCTGGTTCCCAAAACCAACCTTTTCTAATTTTAATTTGTTCTTAGTTCTCTTTAAAAAATAAATGTGAGGGCCAGCAGGTGGCATAGTGATTAAGGAGCTGGATTCCCATGTGGTTGACTGTGGTTTGAGTCCCAGACCCAGCAGCTTAAAACTCACACTGGGCGCATGTGCGTGCGTGCCCAAGATCCTGAGAGGAGAATGGAGGAGAAGGGATTATGGTGTGGCCATTCCCTTGGGGGGTAATTTCTCACTTTCTCTCTCTCTCTCTCTGTCTCTCTGTCTTTCTCTCTGGTGAGTGCACGTACCCTATAACCAAAAATCTCTCTTTCTCTAAATACATATATATATAAACTTAGAAAAATTTTTCTTTTTTCAAACTTCAATCATGATTTTGCTTTGTTTCCATGTATTTAATTTCACTGAAAGGATATTTAACAGAAAAGCCTTTCTGGAAATAGTTTTTCCTGTAATACCTGGAATGGGAACGATGGCCATCGCAGGAGCGGGGTTCCAACCACGGGGTCAGTCGTTTGGCATGTACGCAGAAGAAGGTGCGTGGAAACTCCGTGCATCTGTATTTGGCCTCAGGCAGGAAGTCTGTTCTTCAAGTAAACGCCCCACACCACAGATACTGCCTGCAGCGGCTCACCTCCGGGCAACAGCAGCTCCGGACAGGCACCCTGCCGTCTCTGCCCTGGGGGAACGTACCAGCGCATGGCATTGGACGACATCTAGTGCTTTTGGCTTTCAGTGTAGACAGACAGGTGTGCCTCTTTCCACCTGGCTGAAGCCAGCCCCAAATTTCCACGCCTGGAGTATGGGGACAGGGATAGAAATCTCGTTTCCAATATACGGCAGTGTTCCGGATTCACACATTGCTCTAAAATGAACGTGCAATCATTTGCATTGTTGGGAAATTTTATTATTCTGAAGCAGGAAAATGTTTGCCTGGTGTTTAGCAGAGCCCAAACAACTTTTCCAGATGCGTTACGAGAGGTCAGCTTGTGATTTTGTTCCTACTGGAAGAGCTGTCCCTCGCTAGATAGCCTTGCACGTTTCCTGGCACGCGGTGGGAAGTTACAGTACCTGGTCTAATTTTGCCTGCTGCGCTGTTTCTTTATGCCCGCGATGGGCGGGCCTTTAGAAATTTGCCCTTTGCCACTCCTCGCTGTAACTCATTTTCCCCTCACTCTTGTTCTGATCGTGCATATTACTTGAGATTTTCCGGAAAGGATGTGATTATCTGAAACTGGGTCTTCTGTCACCCTCAGCAACTAGAATCCTTGCAGACTAACAGCTAACCCAGAGCTGGCAGTGTCAGGTGGAATCTCCACCTCACATTTAAAACTCAGAATGCTCAAAGGAGTGCACTTAAAAATATGTCTGGGCCCAGCCTTGGTGTGTAGTCAATAACATGCCAGACTGCAGTGCTGGAAGCCATATGGCTGACTGTAGGTTCGGATCCTGAGTCAATCCCAAAACACGACTAGTTTGTGCACTCAGGATCCTTACAAGATGAGGGGCTAGGAAAGGGGATCACAGTGTGACCAGACCCTTTTGAGGGGCCTTCTCTCTCTCACGCGCATGCCTACGTGGTTTCTCTTGAGAATAAAATAAAGCTATATGTGTCTGTCTGTTATATACATGGTAAGTTATATGAGTATAAAATGACCTGGCTGATTTTAGCTAGGCCCAGTATGATGACACCGCAGAGTCGCTCATTGTTCAAGTCTTTGGTATTTATTCTCCTTTGGCTTGGCCCAGTTTACGGGAGGATAGTCTGGAAATTTCACTGGGTATAATGTCTGATTTGGCACTAACTTATTTATGGGTCTGCTTGGAGTGTATTTTCTTTGGGCTTCAGTTATATGACTGCCATAAATTTTAATTACACTAATTAGTCATAGGTGAATGCTTAAGCCCAGTTGGATTCCTAACTCTGTTCAACTGCCTCTGTCATTAGTTTTTTCAGTGACATGATTTGGCACCATTTTGCAACATATTTTCAGGAAATTAGTTTTAAGTTAGAAAATAACGTGTTTAATGAAGCTTCTGACATTCCGCTCATTTCTTGACCTTCTTGGAGAACCGGACTTGGGTGAAATGCATGCATGTGTACTGTAACGTGCAGACTCCTCTCTCTGGAACTCTCGGTTGTGACATTGGTTACATTGGTCATCCCATCCTCATGTCTAGTGCAGGCGGAGCCCCGCCCGGCATGGCGAGGGCCGTGGGCACGCACACCCGTGCTGAGCCCAGTCACTTGGTCACGTGGTGTTGCGATGGATTCTGAGGTCTGA